GCTTCCAAGGTGACGTCAGCAATGCGCGTACGTATCACAGCTTCTCAACTACATACCACAGGTTGATTGTACCAACCAATCAGAAACCGTGCGGCACGGACAGAAGCAGAAAAACTAAAACGTGATTGGCAGAGGCCTGGATGACCAATGGACATGGTTTGTATATATTATTTAATCCCCCTAATTTCTTTCAATAAACGAACTACTTCTCTAGTGGCCTTTTCCTCGCGTCTCGGTAAAGTGGGTTATTGCGTGCAACTACCAGTGTGGTCCAGTTCGTGATTCGTATATCGCTTTTAGTGCGTACTACCATTACTATGATCACTACAGCACCATGGTACGACGTTCCCTGTTTGTTCGTTCAGCCCACGTAAGTGGCTCAGTGTGCACATTTGGTAATCGCAGAATAGAAGCTATTCGTTAATCATTATCAAGTCGCCCGGTGACCAATATTTTGGAAAAACGAGAAGCCGTAACTTGTACAAGATGCCGGTGTTAGCGGTTGAGTGAATTATCATTTTTCAATTAGTTAGAGTGGATTGATTAAAGTTCGTTAACCTGCCTTAGGAGATGTGAGAATTCATGAATAAGATGGAGGCAATTTCATTACCAAACATAAATGGATAGCAGTTTCTGTTGAATGTGCTTTATTACTATCAGGAAAAGTGACCGCAACCAAAAAACGATTTTGTTCGTTTGGGGAAGTGTTCTTCTTGGCAGTATAACAGATTTCTAGAGGTGCAAAACAATGTCTTGAATAAGATCAACAACAAAATAATTGTTCATAAAGAAGTGTGAAACCAACGACCGTGATCATGATAACGATCAAGATTCCGCTGTACAAATATCGCTTCGTAATCCAAAATCCTCTGAATTTCGCTGTCCGTACGACCACCGATACCCGATTCGTCTTTATTTCGGTGTACGAAAAGGAGCAATGAGACGGAATCCTACCAACTACTGTTGCACATATTCCTTACTCCATTTGATGTGATTTTTCTACTGCCCGAAAAGAGTGAATCCGCTGTGTTTGTGTTGACTCGGACGAGAATAGTGCCAATAGTTGGAGACAGCCTCTCCCATAATCAGACAGTTTCAGACGAGGGTGAGGGCGTGAGGCCCAAATCACGCAAATCACCACACGTTTCACTGTGCTTGTCACGTGTAAAAGAGGACCAATCTGCAAGAGTCCTTGAACAGTCTGTGTTCCGCTACGCGCGTCGTATTGGTTGGTGTGCAAGCCAATGAATGTGATGTAAGGAAGCTATAAAATGAATAGCTGTATTGGTTAAGATGAGATTGTAGTAGTTATTGTTGACACCGACCATCTACCGCTTGCATTTGGCAAACAGGACAAAGCAAGTCAAAAGTTAATCGAGGTGAGTGAAATCATCCAATCCGTCCTGATTTCTGTGCTGATTTTGTTATCTTATTGATGAACTAGATAAGGAAACAGAGGGCATTTTGGAACACGATGCAATGCATAGGTTGAGATTTCTCCAATGTTACCTCACGTATGCCCTATCATTTGAAAATGTATATAAGTGCTTACCCTGATTGAACGTTGTGTGTGTGGCCCATCATATTAGGCCTTAAGTGATGATAATATCGGACTCAAGAGTACGCTGAATTACATTGATCCCATTTAAAGGAACAGTCTTTCTAACAGAAAACGTCAGACAATTGTCAGTTCCTTTCTTTACTGGGAACCTCATCCGTGTTTTTTTTTCTAGCTTGCGTCTTATATAAGTCAAAGTTTGTTCGCTACAAATTGTATATTGTGCATCTGAGTGTACTTCTCCGCGGAAAATTTACATTCTTTTTCGGTCACCCAATTGCAGCACGTTCGCATTATTCACTTATCAACATCAACATTATAACCATGGTTTTTGGCAAAGAACTGGTTCGTTGGACCGTGTACATGGGGATCCCTACGCTTTCGCTCTCACGGC